CTGCTTGAATTTTCAAAACCTAAATAAATGTACTAATAAAACCCTTGTTAAATGAATCAATTATTTACTGTTTATCCACTGTCTGCTGGTAAGTGAGGCCTCCTTCTGCCTCGTAAATTTCATATTAAGGTTTTGAACCCCAAGGTTAAGGCTGTTCAATAAAAAAGATTGTCTTTATATTAAGTGCAAAAAACGTTTTTTATATATTAAGAACCCTGACGACGGATAAAATGGGTTAAACGTTACTTCGTGTGAACTAGTTGTTGATGACTGATCTAACTACAGCCGTATCCAGAAGTCAGAGAAATTAAGCTATGTTTTTGTTTACATGTACCTTGTAGACTGTTTTAAAGTTCATTTTCTTAAAATTATTTCTTGATCACTTATTATTACCATTTGGTGATTGGCAATTATCCGACAATTAAATCATTATAATACTTACTAGTTCACTTAAAAACGTTATGAACTAAAACTAAAAAATATAATATCAGTAGGGCCCGTTTACTATTTTTAATAAGGCGTTTCAGTTCTGCTTCACAGTAATATTTAATTAAATAATAATTCGCAATTCTGAGTTAGTTTTTGTCAGGATAGCTAAATAATAGATACGTATACCTACATTTCAATTTGAACCCTTGTATTATTCTTAATTAAACAAAGGAATAAGACGCTTGCGACCCGTGCTTTGTCAAAATTCATCAGTCTTCCGATCCATAGCAACAATGCGATTATTCTTGTCGGTACATTAGCTTTCCTCTCAGAAAATGCAGCTTATCACTTTATTATCATGCTGGCAGACAAAAATTTAAAACAGATCGATCACTGCAGGTCTTCTTGTGCTCTCTAATGCAAGTCTCATTTGCCGAACCCCTGCGCGCTCCTTAACTGCATGGAATTAAATTATAGATTTGCTAAATGAAACGACAACACCGAAAATATGATTCACTGACAAGTTTAAAAAAATCTACCTCTATAACTTAAGATTACTTTGTCTCTTAATGGAAGGGAACATAAAAGCAGTCAAAGCCCTGATTCAAACTTGGATTTAGATTTACGAAAAAGAACGTCTACTTCACTTAAAACGAGTACTAACTATACTTAAAGAAAAGGCATCATTTCAGTGGACATGGCTGACTGTGAGGGAATAGGAAGAGAAAAAGAAAGAGCAGGATTTGACAATAGTCAGGTAGTGAAAAAGGGGAAGGCACTTGAAAAGTTACACTAATTGATACCAGTCGTGATGGACGCACTAAGGGATTCTCAGTTGCATTTTACTAAGTACACTTGTACCATGTGGAATTGATTAAAAAAAAAATTCCTCCAGGCACCACAAGTAAGGTTTTGAATCGCTGAGAAATGTGTAAAAAGGATTAGTGCCGCTGCACCGTGGGTCACCTTATTTAGGCCGCAACCGGTTTTTGACTGGCACCCATAGATAGCCCAGCTTCTCAGAAATTCCTGGAAGATTCTTTTGCATAATTTGCACTAACATTCCTGAAGGTTCTCGACAGGGAAATATATTATACGGGTTTAAAATGCTCGGAATTTCTCGGGAATAGTCCATTTTCGAGTTCGCTAAGACCGCTGAATTAAAGAAGTGAAGACGCATTTTTTACAGCCTTAGCCTCAAACTGAAGTAGTATATTCACAAATTCCAACGAGAAAAAGATCTGTTTATTACTCTGTCTATTGTGTACATTCACATTTCAAACACTTGCTTGCCAGAATTTCTGAATATTTCACTTTGCGTCTAGGCTAACCCTGTAGAATGTGACGTTAAAGTATACACCTATTTCAGTTAAGGTTGCTCCAGAGAAGAATGATGCATGATGCATGATCCATGTTTCACAGCCCGTGGCAGGATTAGCTCAGTCGGTAGAGCGCTTGACTGCAGAGCGGGAGGTCGCGGGTTCGATTCCCGGGGCCGGACCAATACTTAGGGTCTTAAAATAACTAAGAAATGAAGGTACTTCCTTTGCCCTGCGGGCGGCTGGACCTTCGCGTGGCTCGGATGACCACGTAAAATGGCGGTCCCATCTCCATTAGGAGACGTTAAAATGAGGGCCACAAGTTTATTAGCCTTTGGCTATTAAGTGCTACCCTCTTTAAATAAATAAATAAAGGCTATTGTAGCAAGTCTAGTAAATTATGTGCCCCCAACGAGCTTGAACCTAGAAAGCAAACGCTGCTGACGCTTCTATTCTACTTCAGGAAAACGTTAAGAAAATGTGATTTGAGGTTAGGTTTTTCTCTGTGGTAATATGCAAATGCTGCAAATTTTCAACGAGTCTGCCTGGCTTGCGCATGTGGGAATTTTGGATGGAGTTTAAAAAAATCAACTTCAAGGTGTTTGTTGAACAACAATAAATAACTTAACATTACGTGTTTATTTATTTTTGAGGCAATTTTTTTTAAAACTGAATATATAAAAAAAAGAATAGCGTTGATTTGCTTTATTGAAATAACCAGCATTCTGGCCCATGCAAAAACGCAGCTTAATCAGGCGGTAAAACCCTATTCATTTAATGTTGTTAAAAGAAGAGGTTTCCAATTTTTTACTATGAGATTTTAAAATGAAAATTTTCAGCTCGCTTATGCTTAAGAATATTAGCAGCTATTTGACTTTAAAGCTCTCTTGAACGCCTTTTCACAAATGGTCTATACTATTTCAATGACTGTGAACAAGACTAAACTTTCTGGTACAAAAGGGTTTACCATAGTGCACTGCAGGCTATGAAACATGGTTCACGGGAGCAACCTTAATTAAAATAGGTGTATATTCAGCGGTAATTTTTAATTCGAAACTGGACTATTCTTGAGAATGAAGTTATTGCCCCCGCAGGGATTTCGCCCAGAAGGCACTCCAGTAACCCGCGCGTATATTAAAGAAAATACTCACAGTTGAAATATACAGTCAGTACGCCAGAAAAATCTCGATTTGCTTGAACAGGGGCCGCGAGAAATCGGTAGGTAATGATGACGTTTCTATTGTTTGCGCCCGCAAGTGCGAAATGGTTAGGATGACGTAAAGACAGAAAATCCCGAAGGGGCCGCTTAGGTAGATTTTGGACATTTATTGTACAGTCATACTTCGATACTCTTTTGCGTTACGTGTTATCAGTGACATTATGCGGAGCAGTTGTTTTGAAAGTTATGGACCAAAAGACACTCGTCAAGCGCAGAGGAAGTTATAAGGTGCGTATAACTGTGTATATATAAACTCTTGGAGAGTTTGCGAGACATGAGTTCATAAATCTTTGATTTGAAAGACACTCTACCTCTCTCTTCGACCGGAGCTCAGCCACAAACAAGCAAGACGAGTGAATCAACTGCTAGCTTATCCTTAGCAGAACGATGGACGATTCGACAGAGATTCGCTGACAATCAAATTCTGTGCTGACTTATTCCCTGCTCACAGATGTCCTTCCGCTATAAAGTTTAAAATAAGACCAGAATGCGCGAGCGTGAATTGATCAAGTTACGTCCTTTTAATTTCTAACGCTCACTTTCCGGCAAATAAAATGAGCTGTATGTAAAAAGTGAAGGAGAAATAGCGAAAAATTCAACTTCTAAATTAAATATTTTCTCATGGTTTAGAATAAACTATTCTCGAAACTGAGACTGTTTTGATCAAAGCTGTGTAAATCGAACTGAAACTGTGCATGGAACCTTGCGTTTCCCGTTTTTTTTTTTTTTTTTTATCTCACCTATCGTATGGAATATGTGTGAAAATCTTCATTATCAACCGGTATATTTCACAGAGCTACACAACGACCAAGAATGCTATTGACCGAGCGGCGACAGCTGTAGTGTCAACTATTCCTAGTAATGAGTTCTTTATGATGCTGGGATTTTACGGAATTCTCGGCAATTCCCGAGAACAGTAACATTTCTTAGGTAAGATATTACAAAAATAACAATTTCAGAAGAATGCTAAGGAATTCCCAAAATTACTACAGGAAAAAAATCACAAGAATTAACACAGTTTGATTCAAGTAATACAATTATGAAGCTTGCAAAGTTTAATTTGAACTTTCGCTATTTCTACGCTCGTTTATAACTGCAAGACACGGTACGAAAGAAAATGACGTGACTCGCAACGTGACACACTCACTGACAGGGGGCGAGACCAATATCACATTGTCACTACTCTTCAAAATGATGTAAGACCCAAATTTCGTTCAGATAAGGTGAAGGCTAAAACATTTCAGTGACACATGATCGTAAAGGAAAGAAGAATCAATGTTGTCCTACTTACATTTGATGGTTGCAAACTCATATGCATCAATTAAGCCGCTGTAGCTGCCTGACCTCAACTGACTCAAGTTGCAGATCCCAGTCGTTGATGATCCATATTGTGCGTCAGTGCGCTGAGATGTTTATAGCGTGATATAAAGCAATGTAACATAACTTTTTCAATACACTCAGTCAGCCTGCGAACGGCTCAGTACACGGCCACTAAAATGTCAAATTCTTGCCTGACAATAATAGGACGCTTTGGTTTGAGCACGTGATTGCAGTGCGCAAAGTACCTTTGGCACCGCAATAGTCCCATGTGTTATGTATGAAAGAAAGGTAACGATATGGTAAAATTATTTGAGTGATGGATTTAATTCAAAAAAAGGAGGTCTTAGTTTGCTTGTAACTCCATGTTCATAATCAGTACAGACCTTATACCTCGTTTAGTCACTATCCGGTTCTACACGATAAATTGCGGATCTGTCAAATTTGATAATATGAATAATAATTAGGTTAATTTGAATTTTAGAAATTTATATTTTTTCAAAACTTTTGAATAGCTAAAATAGCTGCAACTCCTTTTAAAAGGTTCTTGGAGATATACAAGGACGCTAAAAACACCTCAATGATGACCGATTCACTGATCTTTATTCACACTACCCCCTAGCCTGTGAACTGATCGATCGTCTATTATAACGTGCAACTGGGAGATTAATTGTACGCTTGGAATTTAGTTCAGAGAAACATCAGGTCCACATCAAATCGTATCACAACTTATTCGTTAAATTATTCATTTTAAAAAAAGTACGGTTTATAAAAAAATGTGGCGGACTAGAACTATTTCAGTAATAAGTTGGGACACCGTATGCTTAATAATTAACTATGGGTTTTATTAATATTTGGTAACCATATTTCATTATATTTAGAAAAGACTCAACCGACCACATTTAGCCTCTCCTGGGCTAGCCCATTTAATGATATTGCGTTTTTCTTCCATCTACAAAGGAAAAGACCCTAATTCATTCCATTTCAATTCGATGTTTTATTATAAAAGAACGTTTGCGTTGGTCATTGATAATAGGGACTTTAAGATCCAACGACGCGACGGCGACGAGAACTTCACTTAAAAAGTTAATTTGTATGCTTTCAGTTTTTATCGCAATTATTCCTAACCACTTGCTTTGTCAAGGTAGGCAAACCCTCCTGGACTGGAATTCCTAGAGACCATATCCAAGTTCAGAAAGAGAAATAAAATTTCGCCGTTGCTTGTTTACATACTCCATAAAACGCCAAATTAGGCATTTTCACGTCGTAGTCGTGCAAAAACGGGCAAAGAAATGTACAAAAAAGTGTGATGCACTTGCAAAATGGTTGTTTTTCTTATAAAAACCTATTGTTTTTTGGACGTTCTCGATGCCGTCCGCGTCGTTGGATCTTAAAGTCCCTAATGCTGACGAGGGTGCGCACTGACGTGTACGCTGACGATTGATCGCCTTCCGGGATAAGAATACAGTCCATTAATTAGCACCAATTTTTTACCATTGATTAGCAATTCGGAGCCAAACCTTCTACTGGGAAACTCTGTACAGCTGTACCCCTAATGGCGTATTCCGATAGATTGTTTAGTGTATTCCGGCGGACAAAGAATATATTGAAATTAACTCTTTAAATCATGCAACCGGTTTGGCATTTTTATTTGCATTACACATTTTAGAAATCTTCTTGAAATAACATATTTCGATGAATGTAACATTCAGTTTTAAAATCAATCATACATGGTTGAAGAGATGATTTAGCAAAATTTTTGGCATATTTTGGCCAATCTACTGTCGCAAATGTAACTGAAATGTAAAATCTAACTGAATCATTACATTAGTTCGAAAGTTACGTTTTATTCGAAAAAAGAGAGTCAGGTTTAACTTGATTAGAATCTATTGGACAAAGTAAAAAATATTTATTTACATCATAACATACTTAACTTTAAATTACGACATGCAGAGTAGCCAATTAACGCAACTTTCACCCCGGACCTCGAAGGACTAAGGAGCAAAATCATTGTTCTATTTAGTCTACAATCGCAGGGGGCCGTCATCTTTTATCTAAAATTTACAAATTCTCCTCACGTGCCCATTGCAGTTTGTTGTGTTATCATAGTTTACATATCATGGGTCGTAATTTCGTTCACGTGAGTCGCGTCCCATTGAAACAATTTACATCTGAGAATTAAGTCGCGCATACTACTTATTAAAAAGTTTTTTTTTTTTTGGTAAGATTCATTGATGACATAACGGGAGGAAAGTGCGCCGATGGGGAGGAGGGAGAGTGTACTCCCTTATATTGCCTGTACTGGGATGTTAATATATTTAAAGGTGTTGCAGCCCTGAACAGGGTATGAATTTTAGGGGGTTTTTTTATCGTCCTAAACAGGGTCAGGTTTTCAAACCCTCAGCGGCTCAGTTTCAACCAAATATTACTCGACGAGTAACCCCCCCTCCCCCTCCCCCGAGAAATTGCATAGTGACAGATCATCAAACATTCCAGGGGCGTTATTATCACAACAAAAATTATGTATATAAGTTTCAGATTAAGTGATAACAGGAGCCGAGAGATAAAGGTAAAAGTTATCTGTTTGAACTTCGACGGTAACCAGAGAATTCTCTGATCACCTGGGTAAAAGGAGAAATTGCGATAAAAATGGGAAGGTTCGTAATAACAAACAGAACAGTCAGGTTGGATTGGAGGAAAGCTTCGAAAAACAAGATATTTCTTCAAGTCCTTAAAATCCACGATAATTAGATTCTAATGAGCCGCGCAATTTTTTACTTATTACTCAAATTAAGAACTGAGTAATCAATTTTAAACTGTAGGTTTTTAAACTAACGCGCGGAAATAAAAGTGTATGCGTCAGACATTTTGTGCTATATTTACTTACTGCATAAAAGTTGAGCCGAGTCTAACAGGAAAAAAGCAGACTACTGAAGCAAAGTATGCCAGTTACATTGTATCTTCATGGGCCTTTAATTTAGTGCAGACCATTTAAACCGAAATTCATAAAACAGTTTATTAAGAAAGTTGTAACTCAAAAGAAGGCAAGTACGTTGACTAAAAAAACAAATGTATTGTCCAAAGAGAATCCGATTAATGTGCACGCAAGCTATTACCATATTTTAATGATTTTCCTAGTAGCACCAACTTTAAAACTACTTGCAAACGGACGCAACAACTCCCAATATTGTTGTACCAACATTGTTGCGATCCTGCTGCTGTATTATGCAAACGGTGCACCAACTCCCAACAACACGCAACAACATGCAACAACGGACGCAACATGTAACATTCAACAAGGTTGCGTTCGTTTGCACGGGGTTTAAAAGTATCTGAGATTACCGTTCTTACCTTGCAACGTTTAGTTTAAAAGCTTGGAGACGTTTTAAGGAATCTGCAAGCGTTAAATCTGTTTGGCATCTGAACATTACCACACTGCTCCGGACAGTTTGCCGATAAGCTACCGTACCGTTAAGATGGAAATTTTCTCTGCATCATTGGTATTTGAAGGGTTACAAATTGATGTTTTTAGTGGCATACAAAGACATTTCCGCTGAAATTAATTAAAGTTTCAATCATCATCGTTTCATTGTCAGCAATTTTACTTAGTAAGGAATTTACACATCAAATGCTTGTTTTATTTTAAAACTTGAGGCTAATTTAATATGTTTGCTTAGAGATGTTCTAGATATTATGACACAAGAATTTCAACTGGGTGAAATAGCACTACTTAAAAAAAGAGTAATTAATGGGAATTTGCGGCAAGGTTGGTTCCATTAATGTTCATTCTTGCAACTAAATATACCTCTGGATTTCGAGTTTCGTATGATTCCATCATAACTGATCATAATCCAAGTCAGTTATATGGCCCTTCCAATTCACAAAATCGATAGAGCATAATTTGCCTTTTCGGTTAACCGACCACACGCTACCCGCCTCAGGCTAAAGTTTATTGTTTAATTAGGATGTATATTAACAAATCCTTCATAGAAAAATATGTTCTTGTTAAGTTAGCTTATAAAACCTTTTCAGCTTAACACAATAGTCAAGTTGACTTTCTTCTGCTGCATGATGCAACCTGTTAGTCTACCCCTCAATCCCTTGATGCTTTTACAAAGAATTAAGCCGGTGGAACCTATCAGTGCTCAAACGTTTCATCACTTATTCATTGTCACATTTGGCGATCGACATAATTTATCATCACACTCACTTGATTGATTCTTGAATACCAAGAATGCTAGAATGGTAAAACATTGATTGCATAGTGTATTGCATGTTGCTGCATACCATTGATTTCGACTCTTAATTAGACTGTATCTTTAATTCTAGGTATCTAGATTGGTTGATGTTTAACACCAAATTTCAGATCCATGTTATTAATCATTTTATTACCAAAATAAAGTTTCTGCTCAGTGGAACGAAGGCAAACCGTCAATAAACCAGCTGTAAGGGTCGACGCCTTGTACCGAAGAACTGAAATACAGGAAGGGATGATTAACCTATCACATACGTGCTTTATTTTATTTCCTTTTATTTACAACATTTCTAATTCGAAAGACAACTCAGTACTTACAGGCAAACTCTTCCTTCTGGGCTTTTGCTGTGTTATAATATCATGCAACGTTTTTTTCTTTTTGTCATGCGTTCTGAAAGATGATTGCGGTATTATGAGAATATTATGGTGCATGCAGCTTGGAATATTTGACCCCATTCAAAACTAATGACCATCATCTAAGACTTGAGTGAAAATTTACAAACTAAGCTTCTTTAAGACAAATTAAACAAAAGTAGCACAAATTGCGGCATAATTATATTATGTTTTTTGCTATATAACATTTTTTTATTTGTCTTTTTTTAGTTTGCACTAAAAACTTCATAGCATAGGGGACCTTATGTCGTTTCATATGACGTAGAAATACTTCGTCTTGCTAAGAGAAACAACAAAGAAAGCGGTAGAAAAATCGACGATGCGTCCTCTAAAAACAGCCTCGGAATTATGCTTTCAAAATATTATTTTGAAACCTCATTGAGCAAGTTCGAGTTTATTTCTCTCTAGCTCAGGGAGCCTATTTGCAATTACTTGCCCTTTTGGACGTTGACCGTCGACCTGGCCACGTCCATCTTCAATGGAGGTCAAAAGATCTTGGGACGCAATGAAAAACCCTTCCAGTAATTGTTACACTTTATCCTAATGACAATTTTTGGATCGGCTATCGCGGATTCATTCCTTCATCCTTCCTCTCCTCCCTACAATGCTGTGACCCCAAACAGATTCATTTCCACCCATTATGCTCAAAATTCAACATTGTTAGTGGTGGAAGGGGGAAGGACGCCTGTTTTATTTATATCACAGGGAAGGCCCCAACACTTTTGACCTCCACTGTAGTTTAAAATCCACAGCTAGTGTAGGTAGGTTTGCATCATTTGGTGGGGACTTCATATCCGAATGAAGCAAGTTCATAGTAACACCAATAAATCAAATTAAAGATACAATAAGAACATGGGAAAAGGTAACGCGATACTCTGTCAAAGCTGCTGGCTTCATTCCGAACGAAGGCACAACGCGCGTATTCTTTAACTTTCTTTACTTTGCCTTTGAGAACTTTCATTGATTTTCCCTGGCTTCTAGCAACTGGGTGCTCTACCTTGACTTCATGTAACTCCGAAACTTCAATATGATGTTTGTCCTGTCATTTGAAAAAGATAAAAAAAGATCAAAACCAACCTTTTACGTCGCCGGGTTTGCTCAGTTGGGAGAGCGCCGGTCTACTGGGCTGGATGGAGCTCGTCCGTTTTAAACCCCGGCTGGTGCTGCCTTTGTAATGACATCTGCAAACGGTTAGACTTTCTAGTCTTCTCGGATAAGGACGAAAAAGCTTAGTTCCAGTCTCAGAGGGCTTTCATTTTTCTGGTGCTTATCCAGGGACGTAAAATAACCCACACTACTTTTAGAAAAGAGTACGGGAGTGGCCAATAACGTTGGAAGTTCTTCTGTCCGTTTGGCATGATTGTAGCTAAAAATTGGCTGGTTTCAAACTTCGCACAACAACTCCCAACAACACGCAAAAACATGCAACAGGGTGTGCAAACGGACAAAACATGTAACATCCAACAATGTTCAGAAGTAACAATGTTGCATCCGCTTACACGGGGGGGGCTTACGGATAGATCTTAACATTTGGATAACCTCATGATCTTCCTATAGGTGTCGCAATGGCTATAGCTAGCTACCTGTAAACAGTTTATGTTTTCTCAAGCCCCAGCACCGCGCAGCGTAAAGGATATTTTCTCCTGTCAATTATTAATGAACAACGGGAGAATTTAATGAAGAGGAATCATAAGATCAAAGTAAACCTTTTAAGCCTTAGCGGCGATAAACATGTTTTTTCTCCTGTCAATGTTTGAAGATTCATAGTATCCTCTTGGAAATAGTAAGAAATGAAAATCTCCCGTTGACACAGAAATGATAAATGGAAGGGCAAAGAAGTGCACCTCTTAATGATTATTACAACAAACAAATTTTACCTCTATAAAAGACACATCACTGTGACAATTTTCCACATTATTTCTGACATGCAGTACTCTTTGCTGTTTTACTCCAGTGTCAAGTAATACTAAGATGTATTCCATTAATGCAGAGAAGACAAACACGAAGGAAACAATGAAGTAGATATCCACAGCTTTAATGTAGGAAACCTTTCCACACAAAAATACAAACAGAGAGAGGGATGATGTAGACTGAATGCAGCTGAACCAAAAATACAGTGAGAAGTTCATATCTCACTGCGTGGGTTTCACGTCTAATTTTCCCACTCTTTTATAAATTACCCTAGGCGCGCACTAATCTCGTACCCAGATCTCTTTCCGACTCGTCGAGAATAGATTTGGGTACGTGACAACGCGGGCACGTTCCGCAAATTATTCGGCAAATATTTTCCACCGAATTATGTAATGCGCAACTGAAATCTAAGAGGAGTTAGATTGTGTATCTGATTTTTTCAATCCATTCTTTATTCATTCAATCCATCTATCTCAACTTTTTGTTACTTTGTTAAAATTACAGCTGAAGCGTCCAGTGCGGACACTTCACCCAGGGCTGTAAAAGATGCCTTCAGCTATCTGCATTTTTTTTAGCAATATACATATACACATACAGTACAATTTTACTTAAACTCTCTAAGGATATTGACCAGCATACCTTTGGAAAAGTGCTTCTAAATGACCCTGTGAACGTCACAACTGATAACACAGTAGTGCTTCCGAGAGCTATCCTCGCAGGAACAGCATCCTGTGGAATCCAGAATACCAGCCAAGACAGTACTACAAGCATCATGGTGGGAAAGTAGATTTGAAGAAAAGCATAACCGAAGCGTCGCTTGAACCAGAAGCGAGCAATAAGTTTAGAATGGTTACCTACAGATTAAAACGATTTGGTTAGAACTAAAGGTTGTTTTGATTCTTCGCTGATAACAGGCCTGGGGTGAACTGAGCACGGTCCAGGTGCTCATTACCATAACCCTTTATGGATTCCTTGCCTGGTCCAGGGTGGCGGCTTAATAGTAGCTTACCGTCCCTTAAAAATAGTGAGCTTACGCAACAGGACGGGAGAGGAAAGAAGACGGCAAACATTGTGTGACAAGCATCACAATAATTTTGTTAGTAAAACTTTTCCACCGAACTTCACCTTACTTTAAACAGGTCTTTTTTTAAAGACCAGAGAACATTAACTCTCTGACAAGTGAAGGTCACCGCAAAGCACGTAAGTAATAGGCCCCTCACGTTTGTCACAAACAAGCGATTTGCCGTCCTCTTCTTTCGCCGTCCTCATGCGTAAACTCATTAATGATAATGATAACATCCTCCTCGACCTGCATAATACTTCACATCCTGCTCAGCATCATTTAGTAATCTGAATGGTTTTATTATTTGTTCAAAATATTTCTAAGTTCTTAACAAGCTTACCTTCTCCTAGACCTTCTTTAAAAGTTTGGAGTATTTCCGGCACGGTTTCAGAATATGAACTTAACAGAAGTTTTTCTTTGCAGATACTCCACAAAAAGCAGATAACATTCTTTGAGCGATATATTTTGCGTATTCTTGCATTTCTTTCGTTCTATTTCCTCTTCGGATAGTTGTAAACGCCATTTTCTTTTTTTAGTTCACTCTTGAATAAACAGCCGGGCTGTCGCGTCTGGAAACGAGGTTGATCGATTGTATATCATAATTTATACCCTTGAATCGAATATTGCTCGCATCTTTCAAATATGGTAAGTGCCAGTTGCTTATGAAGAATTAGCAGTGGGGGAGAAGCCAATCAGAAAAGGCGAAAAAATTGCGAATGAATAATAATGATAATGATAATGATAATGATGATGATAATGATAAGATCATTATTCTTATTATAATCATCACCATTTTTTTTTCTTGGGGGTATCCTTTTACTCCCATCGACCCTCGCTGCTATTTGTGACTCAGTGAACTCACCCTGGTGCATGCAACGAAAATAAAACAAGGCGCTGAAAACGAAATTTGTTTTCCTCTCAGGTAATTATATGAGAAGATTTATCAAGAGCTATCATTCAGTGAAGATACAGTCCAATTACTAGTAATAAATGAAAGTATGGAATCCATAAGTATCTAGGTGATGGGTTCGATACGTTGAACTCCTTTCACACCTAAACTAAGGCGGAACTTGAACAATCAATTAGCAAACTGGCTTTAGTAAGTAGTATACCAACGTAACCTGCATAGAAAGAGGCAATTCAAGTGAAGCCATTAGTTTGCTGTTTTAATGTTATTATTTATGCTTGTTTTCTTTTTTTTTTTTTTACTGTTCTTATATTCCTTTTAGTAATTAAGCTGGAATTTCTAATAGTGTATGTCTCTACTAGTTCTACTAGAGTGACTAAAACTGAATTATAAGTAACTAGTTTTTATTTGGCAGCCCCCCTCAAGTTGCCCTTGCTAACTGCGGGTTAAAATTTTAGCAGTTAGTTTTAATTGTTTTTCTTGTTACATGTAGCTAGTTTGTGATTTTGTTGTCTGCTTGTGCGTGGCCTGATCTTGGTTCTGATTGGTTAACACTAAATCAAAACCCCTGAAATAGTTCATATACTTCTCTTTTTTCATATACTTCTCTTTTTTCAGTATTCACTACTAACCATCTGCATAGGTTTCAAAACCATATAGGGATTGTGTTTGAACGAGAGTAAGCTCTGAAAGATGTTCATCTGATACTTTTATCTTTTCTGCCTCGCTTCCGTTAATCCATGTGTAAACTAATTGGTTGGTTGTATATGCATCTGAAAATAATAATAATAATAATAATAATAATAATATATAATATATAATAATAGAAATTTGAATAACTGCCTACATTGAAACTAGTAATAAAATTAGGGTTCGAGGGCAAGGTAGATGCAAACACTCTTTCCCTGGCCAACGCTGTGCTTTGCGTAAGTTTCAAGTGATAGAAGGTCCAAACGCGCTTCATCAGATTAGTACTGCGGACTCCTTTGGTCGCCCGCAAAAAAACAAAAAACAACAACAAAGGTAGTATGCTGCAACATTCTGTATATTTCAGGCGTAAGCAGCCTTTCAGGGCAGCAAGTTTCAGTACGGCTGTTCATTTTCCTGCAGAGCGGTGTCGAATCTTACTTTTATTTTCATGCTTATGTTGTCATTTTGAATTGCTTGTTGTCCAAATTTAAGTTGTTCGCCACGGTAAAATCAACAAGGTGACAGGGGATAAAATAGGATATACCACTAGACAGTAGTCCCTCCTTTTCTTCAGGGATGAGTAAAGGGATATGGAATACGCCAGTGCGCGCTCAAATATCCACCCGATAGAATTGTGACAGCCCTGGCGGAAAAGAGAAAATTTCCTGATTTTTATATTTATTCTTGATTTTGTTTTTCAACCCTCGGGCCACCTTTCTCTTCAGCGCCCTCAAATTCAAGCACACTCGCCGTTTTTGCTCTCTACCCCTTGACATCGGATAGCGAAGGACTAATCTTAGAGTAATTACATGTGTTCCCTCCCCTAAACAGGGAAAAAGAGATTGATATCTCCCCTGTACTTTTCACAGTGTGTACAGTCTTTTTTTCCCCGCAAGAGATCATACATGTGAAACTGCTTTGCGACGGGGCAAATACAGTTTCTCCCGGCGTTAAAAAAAAGTACTAATTGGGGACACTATTTCTACGTCTCCATCTGGAGACGGAACCGTCATTTTACGTCGTCACCCGAGCCACGCGAAGTCCTAGCCGCTTGCAGTGCAAAGGCAGTAGCTTCATTTCTCAGTTATTTTAAGACCCTTAGTATTGGTCCGGCCATCGAACCCGTGACCTTCCGCTCTGCAGTTAAACGCTCTACCGACTGAGCTAATCCTACCGCGGTTAACATTGAAGTTAATCTACGTGGTTACAATACTTAACAGGTAGACAATTCCAGGTCACAGTGTTGTTCATCTAGTGGATAATCAGCCAAATCCATTGAACATCCTGCAGTTATAGTAAGCCTAAAAACCAGATATAAATATACTAAACAGAATAGAACTGTACATTTGCAATGATTCTGAACCTGATTCAGTAAGTCGGCGATAAATCATTATCAATAACACCAAAATACCAGAAAAAATCTTGAATGGCACTGCGGAAGCAATGATTGAATTTGCAACTATAACCCCACTATGCAATAATCAGAATGAAAAGTCAATGTAATGTATGAACAGTTTTGGTTTTAAGATTAGGATTTCTGTTTGGTGTTAAAACTCTTCTAGCGAGGGAATATGACCCAATGAGAGCATATATTTGTTACCTTCTCTACTGAAAGGTTTAATACCCCTGACTAAAGACCCATCAGGAAAGACAATGCATTGAGACGTTTGGACCAATATTTAATAACATTCAGTAGCATTTTTAAAACTGCTTTTAGGAACAGTATTTTTAATGAGCCAAATAATATTGTATGGCAATGATGGCTTTTAAATTGATAATTTTCTAACACTCCGACATGCAAAAAATTAGATCTTCGGTAAACAGTTCTATTTTTTGAAGATAATTTGCTTTGTTTTTTATCTTATATTATATTATTATTATATTTATTTTTATTTATTTATTTCTTGGTTGGAGAGTATTTAATAACATCATTTTATAGCGTGAAAGTGTGACTTCACAATATATATTGTTGCCGCGAAAAAAAAAAACATTCCATTTACTAAAATGAAAGATGTATTACCGAAAGGTTTTATATTTGATTGTCTTCTTGAATTTGGCATATTCCTGCCTTCAAATGAATGTGTATTTGTAGCTCATGTCAAATTAAAATGCCTTTAATTTAATGTGGATCCTTACAGTCTCTGTTTTTGGGTTTCGACTTACAAGCGCGTAACTGCAACTTTTTATAATTACTTCATCAAGACCTCATAAAACCACCTTACCTGGTACTGTAAGTAACAACACCTCCAGGTGTAATGGAAACTTTACTGTTTTCAGCAATTACGTCATGGATAGCGGCACTTCTAACATTGAGAAAAAATGTATCTGGTAGCCATATGACTTTCTTCGATTCTCCAGGAAGAGTGATGGGGTCATCCAAAGAATGGCGTAGTCGTGGGTCATTCCATGTTTGCCAAGTTATCATATCCAGTGAAAATTGCTAAGGTAATAAATTAAAAAAAAAAACAAAAAAACAAAAAACAGTAGTGCAAAAATCAACCATAGGAAAAACCAAACAAACAACAACAACAACAACAAAAACAACAAGAAAGGCATGGAGAGGTAACAGTGACTTTATGTGCAAGTTCTGTGCATATTTAATTTTGGTTGTGCTTAGGGAGTTCTTGTCTGACCTGAGTGTATTTCACGTGTACTAAATCTGGTGTACTTATATGGGTCTATATAAGCGAACAATAACTTTCTATGTAAATTATTAAGTAATATTAATATTATATCAGACTTGTGAGCATTTACTGACCTCTTCTACTTCCCTTACTGCTACAAAGTGAACAACCGTGATACCAATTGTGACCTTGAGGGGACTGCCTAAAATTTAAGAAAGGACGTTCTCTGTTACATTACTATCAGAAACCATTAGCCCTGAAGCTGCGTTAACGAAAACGGACCTCTCGATCTAATTTATGGAGTAAAGTGCTTTCCCATCTTGTATGCTACCACTAATTAGTAAAATCCATTACTAGTGATCTATTATCAATGCTGGGTTCTGATTGGTTGAGCTACTACTAGGCTATGTTATAGCCCACTAGTAGCGAAAAGCGCGGGCTTTTTGGCAGCAAAAAGGGATTAAAGTCTAGCTTTAACTAGCTAAAATTTTTTTATTCTCGATATTTTTTACCAATTAGTTGAATTTTACTAACACAATTATTCCTCTCGCCCTCATGGCCTCTTAGTCAATAGCCCATTCGGCCCTTGGCCTAATGGGCTATTGACACAGAGCCCATTCGGGCTCGAGGAACAATTGTTAAATAGCATTCGCTATCAGTTTTGTCGGTTGTTTTTTGGTGTTTGGGATGGGGGTTGTGTGGGTACAATCATCAAATAACGTCATACATAAGATTGAAACTAACCCACAGTTCAAGATAATAAAATTAAACCAACAGTAGTAGACTGTATGCGGTCGAAGAATTAACTTTAATTAAATGTTTTCGTACAGAGCAACTAAGACTTCGAACTCTTCCGATAAATCACTGAAAACATCATGAATATTAAAACGTTTAAGAAATCAATTAGGGAATACTCGTTACAGACATCTCTTTTTAATTGATTTCTAGTTCTTATTACTTTGTCCTCAATTTTTCTTTCCTTTTCTGATCAAGATATATACATTAACGTAGAAATCCCCGTATGGGAATGTAAATTAGTTTGCTCAACACCATAAACACCCTTTTTAACGCTCAAAGCACCATATTTGGACCTTGTCTTGGCTGGTCCTTTAGCTTTGGATTGCGTGCATTTAAAAGTAACTGTACATTTCTTTTGTCTATTACCTTTGTGAAAAGGTCTTAAAAACTTTGAATATTTTTCTGCACTTGTGATCTCATTGAGAACATCTGTTGTCTCTTTGTACCTGCAGAAAAAAAGAAAAAGAAAAAAAAAGACAAGCCGGGTTTGTTTGTTTGTTTGTTGTTTTCTTTTTGTATATTTTCAAAAGAAACAAACATATCAAGCTTTTAAGCTTGAAATAACCACCAGAAAA